TTCACAATTCAGAGACCCCACAGAAGCAAAAGCAAAAAATGTGAGCAAGTTTTTTTGTGTGATGAATTTTTAGGATACAAATACGAAAAACACATACAAAACAATACGAACTTCAATGTGCAAATACCTTTATCATAAACATAGTTTATATCTGAACTATAAACTGTTTTTCCAGTGAGTGAGGCAATTTGATAGTTTAAAACACATATATTAACACACTATTTAAAAAACTAAACACTGAATAAGTTTCAGAACCATACAGCATGACTGCCTTCTCTGGGTCAAATGCAGATTTTAATGTGAGAGAGAGAATTTTGAGTTTATCGCCATTTAAGCTTCTTTGGCTATGTCATGGCAAAAAAAAAAAAAAACAGAAGTTTACCACATTTTATAAATACCACTTTTTTTAGTTATAAAAATATTCTAACAATTAAAAGTCAACAACACCAATAAATAATACACAAGGTAAAATACATAAATACTAATAATGATAATATTAAAAATAACAGCTAAGGTTTGCTTTTGATAACAAAATTTTAATTTTAGAAGGATTCACATTTAAAAATATTCCATTTAAAGTCTCTCCAGATAAAAATTGTTGTCTGATCAGATTTTCAATGTACTTCTATGAGCATCACAGCTTTATTAAATACAGTTGAATTCAGAATTATTAGCCCCCTTTTGATTTTGATTTTCTTTTAAAATATTTCCCAAATGATTTTTAACAGACCAAGGAAATTTTCACAGTATGTCTGATAATATTTTTTCTTCTGGAGAAAGTCTTATTTGTTATATTTCGGCTAGAATAAAAGCAGTTATTAATTTTTTTTTAAAAAATTTTGGGACAAAATTATTAGCCCCTTTAAGCAAATTTTTTTTTCGATAATCTACAGAACAAACCATCATTATAAAATAACTTGCCTAATTACCTTAACCTGCCTACTTCACCTTATTAACCTAGTTAAGCCTTTTAATGTCACTTTAAGCTGTATAGAAGTGTCTGGAAAAATATCTAGTAAAATATTATTTACTGTCATCATAAAGATGACATACTGTCAAAAGATAAAATAAATCAGTTATTAGAAATACGTTTTAAAACTATTATGCTTAGAAATGTGTTGAAACAATATTCCCAGAACAGAACAGAAATTGGGGAAAAAAATAAACAGGGGGGCGCTAATAATTCAGGGGGGCTAATAATTCTGACTTCAACTGTATGTATACAAATTGCAATTATTTAGAAATAAGATTTTGTGGTCATTCCAGTAAAAATCATGAGCTTTTTACAATTAACCATGCAGCTCTACAACAAACCTCTAGGTTTTCCACAAGAGACAACTCATTATGGCTGAGATCCAGGAATTCCACTTCAGGAATTAATTTCTATGAAGAAAAACAATGACTTTAGCACTTCATTAATTTAAAGTCCGTCAATTAAAAAGGTATTTGATATACAGTAGTCTAACGCACCACAGACTCGTCGATGCAGCGGATGTAGTTTCGGCTCATGTCCAGAGTGGTGAGCATCTTCCATGTGGGAATGATAGCTGTGACGGGACAGTCTGTATCCACTCCCTCTGGCTCCCACTGTGCAAATTCAGACGCTTCCGGAACTAAGATTTCCTGTTGAAGAGAGAGCAAATATTGTTATAAACAGCTATCAGTGCCAGTGGAAAAGGAAGAGGCGTTTGTAGGTTTTAAGATGAAACAAATAGCTGAAAACTAACAAATAAAGATGATATTTTAATAAAGCCCAAAACATTTGTAGCTACAGTGAAATGGTTGTGAAGTGTGAGTTTTTCAGTAGGACTCTTTTGTCCTTTTCAAGTGCAAAGCAATTAAAACCACAACTAAAAACAAAGTTTTTAATCAGATTAAGAAACCATTTTTTGTTTTCATGAGACGGTTTACTGAACCATCAGATTAAAAGACGTGTTGATTGTTTCCAGATAAAGCAAAGCAAAAGCTAAACCCCAAAACCATGCACTTTTGTTTCGGCATTTTGAGATGCAAAAATTTGCTTTTGAGGATTAAAGACATTTATTTGTTTATTTGTTTTACATAAAAAAGAAACAAAAACAAAATATTTTTATAATACCTTTATTTTTCTTATCTATGCTTGTTTCTTGAAATGTATTACTGACTTTAGAGATTAAAAAAAAAATCCTTGTCGCGCCTAAAATATATGTTACTTTCTACGACTTGCAACACATTTTTTGTTTTTCTTCAAAAACAACAGCAAAACAAAATGTAAGCTTTTAGCAAACCATTATTCTGTTTGTAGAGAAACTCTGAGAAAACCTTTTAAGGCGTTTACTGTTTTTAAAACTTATTAAATAATAATAATAATTCATAAATACAAAACTGTTAAAGTCGTATTATCTTGGTTAAACCATCCAGTTTTGTTTTTTGAGAATGCATTTTGACATTCAAAAACCTGATTTAGGATTTAACCTGTGATCTAGGGTTGGGTCGATAAACGATGCAATCGTCCTTTGCCGATGGCCGATAGACATAACGATGCTAAGCTGGCATCGCAATCTTCCACCCCACCCCCATCAAAGCAGCAACCTGCTCGCGAAAAATACACACTTAGGCCTTGTTTACACTAATACATCTTAGTTTTATAATGGCATTTTATAACGAAAATGATTCAGGTCCACACTGGCGTTTCATCTAGCCGACTCTTCGTTCACACTATACCACTGATAACGCACATCATGTGACCACACACACACAAAGAGGCATGCGTTGCAGCATATTCGCATGTTAGGGTAGGGCGATGTTGACCAATTTGGCATCGTACGATGTCTAATGTGAAACATCGCGATGGACAATCGTCATCGTAGGCGGGGGGTGGGGAGGTTTTTAAATATCAATTAATTCATAACAAATTAATTAATTGTAGCCTACCGCTTTCATTACCTGACCCACATGGTCTTTGCTTTACCATAACCAAACCATAAATAAATAAAGTTACAAACAAATGACCACCTTTCAATCACTTTTTTTCCGCGGGACTTGTGATAGGCAGTGATCTGTGTCGCTCTAATGGCTTTTCCCACAGCTGATGGAGGAGACGAGAGTTCGGTTGGAGTTCACTGTAGTGCTTACATTTTCATTGCTTTCACTGCAAAATCCTCACCGCGTGCGTGGATTTAGGAGACATTTATGCAGAATGCATCTTTGCACCTAAAAACGCCAAACGCAGCACTCAGGAACAGATTAAAACAGTTGTTATGTCAACTTGCTGAAGTAAAAAGCCTGCAATGCTTGCCCCGCCCCTTCCTATATGCTCTAACTCAGGGGTACCCAAACTTTTCAGCCCGCGACCCCCAAAATAACAATGCCAGTGACTCGCGACCCCCAATATCCTCTAAGGTGGTTATAAATACAGAAACCTTGCATGCAATGATGCAGACACACCAATTAAATTTGTGTCAGTGCTTTAAATGTGCCAGAAAGTATAACCTGATGTTATAAAATCAAAATGCATCTGACGCTATTGCTGCCTTTAATATAATGTAATTACCCCAGGGGTTGCAATCCAATAGAACTAGTAACTATAAGCTACTATAGTAACTATATAGTATATAGTAACTATAAACGACTATTTTTATTTTCAGTATAGTTATGGATAAAATATGTTAATTCTTATGGTTTAATAAAAATAAATCGATTTTTGGAAATCACCAGGCGACCCCCCCTTCATTGCCCCGCGACCCCTTGGGGGGTCCCGACCCCCACTTTGGGAACCACTGCTCTAACTGAACGTGAATGATTGGTTAATATCAGCTGTCAATCACTCAGTCAATGCCCTCTGCCTTCAGATGACAGGAGCTACAAACGCGAAAATGTAAAGCGCTAAAGATGAGAGAATGAAAATAACACTGACAGATTTACCTACAGTTACTAATAATGGCACATCTTATAAGTGATCATGTGCTGAATGTTAATCCACCATTTAAATTTTTTCAAGAGTAGATAAAAGGCTTCCAGTGGTTGACTAAAGCCATTCACTGTAAAGTCTGTAGGACGGGGTTTGCAGGTAACAGCGTTTGCCACTGAATCTACACATTTATGTGCGAGAGGTACTGTATAATCCTTCATTTATTCCTAAGGAGCTATATGTAACATTTAACACACTTCATGAAAAGACCGGTATTGCTATTAAGATGAAATGAAAATAATAAATTATATGTCAAGATAAATGTGGGGCGGGGCGATGGATCGCGATGCCGACTCAGAATCGTAAAGTTTGTCGGCCATCGGCGATTTACGATGGCATCATCTATCGGCACAACCCTAGCACATGTCCAAGCTCCAGGCAGTCAGAGGGTGCTTTGAGCACAAAACCCTAGAGAGCAGTGCACGTCAGACAGTTTATCAAGGACGTACTGCTGAACTGCGTCTCACTGTAGTTGTTAAACGTGATATTTAATTTTTCTTGTCTCTATCTAACGACTCTTCGGTCTATTGAATTTATCAGGTAACGTGTCACACCATCAGTACACTGCTTTAATCTTTCGCTTTCACGCTTGTACTTGGTAATTTTAGTGAAAACCTCAGATACTGTTGGTTGGGCACCTTTTTACCAAGTTTGTTGAAGTTTGTTGATTATAACAACACAGATCCTGTGGAAAAAGTGATTGACAGGTGGTCATTTGTGTGTAACTTATCTTTATTTATTTATGATTTACTTTAGGTAAAACAAAGACCATGCAGGTCAGGTAGTTGAAACGGCATGCTACAAATGATGAATTTGTTATTAATTATTCAATTAATCATAAATAATGAATACACCGCTGCCTACAACGATGATGCCACTGTCTATTGCAATGTTACACATTAGACATCGTACGATGCCAAATTGGTCAACATCACGTAACTTTACCGTGATCTAACTTAAGCTGTGTTCACACTATGAGCGACTCACAGCAGCAAAGTGACAAGCTACTGTTCATTTCAAGAGTGAGTGACTTCCAGCGACCTTCATCTAAGCAATCGACAGCAACCATTGGCGACAAACTTTATGCAAATGAAAAGCGACTTTGAGCAACAGCCAATTGGAGCACCAGTACAGCTCATGTGACGCTCTCTCAGCTCCTCCAGAAGCTGGTTGTATTCTCTCTGTGCTGTAGAACTAAACAGACCAGCGTTTGAGAAATAGGCGCAATGACAAAGAACACACTTCTTTCTTGATCATCTTTGTAATTAAGTGTTCTATGTACTGATTCCACTTATATTTAGTGGTTTCTCTGAATGATGTTTATTTTCAGCGGCACTTAAACTCATTTGCTCTCAGTAAATAACACTATAAACGTTATCTAAGCAACCTTACAGTGTGGTTTAACTGTTTCAATTGCCACCCAGAGCAACAGGGAACCACAAAGTCGTTGCTAGTGTAAATGACGCATCAAAAAACTACTTTTTGAGGAAATAGGCTCATTTTACAACTTTACTAGTGTTCAAGAATTGGGTTTTACCATTTTTTAATCCATTCAGTCTAGCGGAAACACTTTTAGCTTAGCATAGATCATGAAATTGGATTAGACCATTAGCATCTCACTCTAAACAAAAACAAAAAAAAACGTTAATAATTTCTCTTATTTATTTTTTCATTCAGTCATTTTCTTTTCGGCTTAATCAGGGGTCAAAAAGAACCGCCTATTTATCCGGCACATGTTTTACACACCGGATGCCTTTCCATCTGCAGCCAATCACTGGGAAACACCCATACACTCTCATTCACACTCATACACCACAAACAATTTAGCTTACCCAATTCACCTATAGCGCATGTGTTTTGACTATGGGGGAAACCGGAGCACCCGGAGGAAATCCATGCTAACTCCGGGAGAACATGCAAACTCCACACAGAAATGCCAACTGACCCAGATGAAGCTCAAACAAGCAACCTTCTTGCTGTGAGGCGACAGCACTACTCACTTCGCCACCGGTTCTCTTATTTAAAGCTTGACACTTCTTTAGCAGTTACGTCGCACATTAATAGTTACAGAACCGTCTCCAATACCTTCATGCTTTTGGCTGACAGGTGAATGCTGAGAGTGGCCAGTGTGGGCTTCAGTGAAGGAAGACCTCTGATCTGTCCAGCGTCGCAATCGCTGATCTGAAAAATAAAAAGATAAACTTCAGAAACGCAATTGGAGATCATCAATCGAACCCAAAACCCCATCAAGAGTGTCTCCACCTCGATCTGGAGCAGCGCTTTAAAGATGGAAAGGTCAAAGAGAAGACTCTGCTCCTCGATGTTACTCGTCCCCACTGTGCTTTTCTTTCCAGGAATCTGAATTGACAGATCACATACATGAAAATGTGGACACCATTTATATATATCAGATTTCAAATTCAGATTTCAACGATTTATTAAATGAAACAGGAAAAGACTTAATAAATTGACACTGACTTGCCCCATCTACAAACCATTGTCATATTGATGATCTGTTTTTTATCTAGAATAATCTGTTAAGAAAACAACCTTTACCCCCTTTTTTCATTATTTTTTTTATTCTGTTTTTTTGTTTTGTTGTTGTTTTTCTTTTAAATTGAAAACAAAGATGTAAAATAATTGTGATGTATTATAATGTCCCATTTTTGGTATACCTTAATAAACAGATTGTAAAAAAAGAAAGAAAAGAAATAAATAGCATACATTTAGCCGATATCAAAAAGTCAACTCCAACAGTGATCAAATCGAATACCTTGAGGTATTTGAGGCGGCAGGTGAAGTCCAGGATGTGTCCGAGATCTGCTTTGGCGTCTCCGTTGGCACAGGTGGGTTTGGCGAGTCTGAGCTGCTGTGTGACGGCGTAAAGCTGGAGAGGCTTAAGGAGAAACACCTCGCCTGCAGCCAACAACTGCTCACCTAAAAGACAAAACAGAAGATTCCAGATCAAAAATAGAGAACATTTGCCTTTTTTTTTAAATTTAGAAATACTGTAATCTTAAGTAAGTGTAATGTAAATCTATTGTAATTAAAATTACCCCATAATTTACTCGCCCTTAAATCATCCAGACGAACACAGAGATGAATCAGACGGATCAGACGGAGTTGTTTTAAATATTACCCTGGCTTTACCATGCTAGTGTTGGGACAGTGGTGTTTATTTTGAAGATTCCAAAAGGGCATAAATCCATTGTCAAACTAACCCATACGCCGCCAGGGGGTTAACACATGACTTATGAACCGAATCAATGTCTTTTTATACCAGAAATATTTGTAATTTTGAAATTATATACTACAATCACTGATGTATGACACAAGACATATTTGTACGCATCTTGCAGGAATAATAATGTTATATATTTACTTTATAACACTATACAGTGCAATACTCTTACGCTGCGTGTTCATCGAAGCGTTTTTGCAGTGCAGAAATGTGAACGCTGTTATAATAATGAGCTCTTCTCCAACTGATAAAGCTTTTTTAAATGCAGAGCAATCAGCACTGAGCGAGATGTTTTAAAATGGTGGCTCTTTCATTGACAACTAAAGAAAAAGAAAATCACATACACACAGAGGATGGCTTGAGTTTAGGTAAATTATGGGGTAATTTTCATTTTTAGGTGAACTACTTCTTTAAACGCTCAAAACGTGAAGAATTTTTTGTTGTGGCTGGGCAGGGGTTGTGTGACGTCAGAAGCATGGCCATTTTAACATCCATTATCCCAAATGTTTGAAAAGGAAGCACATAAGTCAGCAAAATATACTGTTCAAGTTTTTTTTTTAAATATTAGACTTTACAGACCTGAAACTTGCCTATAGCAATCAATAGCATCATTGTTGCTCTTATAGTTGTGTAAGTTGCTTCCTTGTCCTCATTTGTGATTCGCTTTGGATAAAAGCGTCTGCTAAATAACTAAATGTTAATGTAATGTTAATTAGAATTGTGCCTTTAACATGTTCCAAGCTAAACCGGAGAACATTTCCAGCAGTTGAACCAAATCATCAGACTTTTTTTTGAGAATTGGAAAAACTTTGAAACATTGTAACGTTGCAATATTCTAGAATTCACAGATATGGAATGACCTACTTCTCTTGACTTCTCTTGTCTGAAAGGGTTGTGGAAGTGTTCTCTAATTTTGGTCAGCTTTTAATATTAATATTAATAAATATCTAATTTAAATACTTTATAATGTGTTTCAGAAATAAGTTTAGAGAAACTGAGGTATCAAGCCTGTTAAAGTGACTTCAAGCAGGACAAAACAGTGACCTGGAAATGTAGGTCAAATGTGAAGAAATGTTCTCTTTTGCTCGCCGCTGTATTTCAAATTGAATTAGAATGCAAATTAATGCATGACAAATAATGAATATTTAAATTTAGTCTGATATACTTCTAGCATAATCAGAAAATGAAACTGGTGGGACTACTGATGATTTTTTCAGTCTTTAGCCAGTACTTCTTAATGTTACACAATTCAAGTTTGTAATAAGTCCAGGAACGAGCAATAACAGACCGTTATGAAAGAGCTCCTCGGCCAGTGCAGCAGCAATGCCATTGATTTCCTGAAAGAGAGAGGAAAAAAAAATAAGTTAGATGCGCTCATAATAGACCTTATTCAAGTGTGTGTGTGTGTGTATAATATATATATATATATATATATATATATATATATATATATATATATATATATATATATAAAAAAAAAATCCCCATTTCAGACATTCATACTTTATCAATTAAACTGTCTAAAGTTAGAATCTGCACAAATCTGAGCTGCAATGTCTCCACATTGAGCTTTAATGAGCTGCATGTGCTTCTCAAAGTCATTTCCTGAAAGATCTAGCCGTCGAAAATGCAGAAATGATCTCCCTTTGCCTGATTTCCTCCTTAGTTTTTAAAATGGGGTTTCTTTTATGATTTTAAATGCACACGTGTTTACAGATAAATCAATGTAAACATTCAATTAAACCATGAAATAAATCTTACAATGTGTTTAAATTAAACACAAAAATGGTCTTGAAATATGGGCAATTCTTTATGTTATCCTCTATTTACCAACATTATTAAAGATCCCATATAATAACATTTAATTAAAACAGGGTAAAAACAGAAACCAGAGAGTGAAATTCAGTAACTTTCATGACCTATTTTAATGCTCTTTCCATACATGTTAAGACCTCATCGCCTTTTTAGGTTTCACCTGGTAACATTTTAACATTTTGTATGATTACTAAATACTGATTGTAAGAAACTAATCCTAAACTAAAACATTATTCATATACTGAATAAAAATGCTAATTGGCACCAATAGAACTGCAGGAATTTACTGATTTCATAAACTACGCAGCGCCCTAATATTCAGATAAAATTCAGGCAAACCTTGGCATACAACTACACAATTTAGAATCAAAAATGATACTACATTTTTACATTGTACAGAAGCATTTAATATTTTTTAAGAGCCTTAAATTTCTCTCAAATTGATTCATCAAGTTTTAATACTTTTTAAGACCCCACAGACACCCAGTAAAAGTAGCCAAAAAAAAAAAAAGTGCTGAAAAGTTTACGTTTACTTACCAGGCTCAAATATTTGCTTGAGATTTAATAGTGTATTAAACTAAAAACTAAAATTGAACATTGATGATTATAGTATGAATTAGCATGTTGCTTGAATGGTTAGTATGTTTGTTAATATTGATGTATTGTTAGCATGACCTGGTATGTTTTTACAATGGAAGTCTATGGGACAGTTGCTAGGGTGCCATAAGTGGTTGTTAGGGTGTGGCTAGTAAGTTGAAAGGTCATCAGTGACTGGCAGATTGGTAGTCTGAGTTATAGGTTCAGGACACCCCGGAGAACTTTTTTTTTTAATATTAACAGATATGTGTGTGTTGAGCATCAGTTAAGACAATGTTAGCACCTGTCAGCTTTAATTGTGGGGAAACTGGATAATTTTGAGCTTTTGTCAGCTAATTTCAGCTTCCGGGTTTAAAATGATTTTTGGGGCGGGATCAAAATCGGCGACGTAGCGCAGAACTGCAAGTGCAATGACGACGCGTCGGTTTCTCATTATTATTCATAGCGAAGTTTTCTTATCCTATGAGAAGAGCCGGCTGCTTAATTATTCATGAGACCTGCCAGACCTGCCAGAGTCAAGCCCGAGCTGAGAGACACGGAAACCACGGCACAGTATTTAGCCGTTCATGAAGGCTCATATGCTTTTGTTTCCATGATCCACAGGGTTTGTTGCATGTTTTCCCCCGCGATCTTGTCAGGGCCGATCATACAGCAAAGCTGTGTGTGTGCTGCTAGCATTTTTGTCGGGAGAGCAGCACGACAACTGGAGAATGGCGGACGCTGTCTTTTAGCAGGAGTTCGTTCACATTCAGACACATCACTGTGCTGCTGTGTTTGCCTAAATCCTCCAGATTACCAGCAGGGTTAATGGTTAAAATAGACAGGTCAGGAGACCTGCTGCACTGAGTCTGCTGGATACGGGGATTGAGGGAGAATCCTCATTTATAGTGTTTACATGAACACACATCTTTATAATGATATAAATTGTGGTTATGTGTATATGAAATTACGAATAACAAATGTAGCAGGGCATTAAATCACTGTTCATTTCTTTGCATTTTAACTTTGTAAACTATAAACTCATGCGTCTCCTCACGGTTTGTCTCATTTTGTGAGCTAACTGACAACAACAGTTGTTCGCTCACCTTCTCCCCTGCTGGCTACGCCCATTCCTGTCCGATGCTTGCGGAGCTCCACGCCCATTAATCATGCATCTTTTGAAAAAAATTCTGAAGTAGACTTTAACCGAAAGTGGGGGGTGTCATGGACCTTTAAATAAGCCTAACCATATGTCTGTATGACAGTCTGTTGCAAAGTTATGAGGTAATAAAATTTGGTCCAACGTTAAGTCAATCAGATTTTTTCCAAATTTTCGGGGTTAGTTTTCGAAAAACCATAAGTCGGATCAGTAGGAAAAAATAGAGCAAACCGAGTTGAAGCAGTTGGGAGGTTTGGAGTAAGTTTGGTGATTGTAGTATGAACGGTTTAGGAGGAGATGCATATAAAAATGATTCTCAGAAGAAGAATTATAAGTTTATGTAGTGAGCAATTCTGTGCAATTGTCAACCTTGCCATGAAAAAAATAAGTTTTCACCAAAATACGGAATCTGTTTCAAGGTTTTTTGGGCAAGCAAGTATTTTACAGTTCTTTAGAAATACTCAAAACTGCATCTGTCAATGTTTTTAAACTATTATATTTGATTTACCAAAGTCACACAAGTGGCAATTTCACATCTGTCACATCCATAATGGCGAGATGTCACATCCATAACAACACTTTTTCCTCATGAATGTGAAAATATTAAAAAAAATCAAACCAATTATTTTTGTTCTATAGAGAGCCAACTCTTATCCTTTAGATTATCATGATTTCTTTGGGGTTTTGCAGTTTAACTTACAGAATTTCTACAGAGCATGTTGAATACTGTAAACCCACAGACTTTGTTTGTCACATCCATAACGCATGTTTATTTTCCTCATTTCAAATACAAAACATGTTTACAGATTGATTTTTTTGCTCCTATAACTCTGTGGTCAGTTGTTCTGGAAAAGAAAAACAAATGTTTCAATATAATGTTAACATCTACTTTCTATGCGAATTTATGTTTTGAGTTTTTACTGCAAATGTCACATCCATAACGCTGGAATTGCTCAGTATTAAAGTATGTTGGCTTTCTCAAGCCACCATAATTACATTTAAATCTATATATGTATCTAAAGTGCCAATAGAGAACAAATGAACACACATAAAGCACTTCTCCCCTCCAAAACAACTCAGTCGGGTCATATGCCCTATCCAGACAAAAGCCTTTCAGAGATCAATATCAATACCACTACTGTCAGCGGCGAAACATAGCTTACAGCCAAATAACAGAGCCGGCAGTTCCTAGAACCAATTATATGAGAGAACGCAGTTCTGCACGACTCATCTATCAGATCAAGAGTCGCATATAATTGTAGTGATGATGTACACACATTCGCCAGTTAATTTTTAACCAGCATGTGACCTGAAATGAAGCACAGGAATGTTCAGACACAAAGCACTGAAAAACTTACATATAAGTGAAAGAGCAAGAAGTTTGACAGGACTTTGGGGGTTGTGGCAGGGAATCTGCTGAGAAGTGTTTGCAGATAAACTTCCAGCTCCTTTTGCCGCTTCTCCACGAGACTCTTGGAATTTTTGCCGATGATCTTCTTGGGCGGCAACAGATGTTTATCGATCTTCTTCTCCACGGTCAGCTGAAGTCAACAACATTTAATCAGCCAGTGAACTATGAACAGACTGTCAATATCTGAGGTCTGATCTGGCTTTTAGGCAGTGCAGACGTAGCTCACCTTTTCGTGCAATTCGTGAAAGTCACTGTAACGGTGTTTGACGCTCCAGCTGTGATCGCCAACCTTCACTTCAATGATGTAAACCTGAAAAACAATATATTTTTGTTTACACACAAACATATTTACATTTTTTATGCAATTAATGCGAAGAAAAAAAATCTTTATATCCATTAATGAGCATTTTAAAGTTAGAAATCCAACATGTCCACTTTAATGATTAGCATAATACATATTGTGCCTTATGCAAATTAGCATACAAATAATAATAGTGGCCTTTGACACCACACGAACCGTTATCGCTAATAATCGTTCACGTGCCTGTTAAAAATTAATCAGGTTATCTCCAAACACTGAAATGATCCCGGGATTACACAAAAATAAGGACATTTTAATTTATTGTTAGCAAACATTCACTCTTATGCAACACATATTCCCTCAGTAAACCGTTTCCTTTTATAAACTGAGCAACTGCATTAACCAACAAAATATACGACTATACAATCAAATTGACAATAAAAGCAATTTTTAAACATTTTATTACAATTTTAACAATAAACAACGAGTCTAATCAGTAAACCCGACCCAAATGAAGCGCCTCAGACTGACCGTATAATTCTCCACCAGCTCGGAGCCGACGATGCGGACTTGTTTCTCCGCGCTTTGCTCTGTCGGAAGCGGCGCGTCCATCTTCACTTCGGCGTGAAATTGAGCGCGGCGCGATGAAAAATGCAGATCTAGCTGTCATGAAGCGCCTCCATCTTTGTTGTGGTTTAACGGGGAGAAAATAAGCACCGCCTTCTCGTGTTTCAGCCGCCGCGGAGCTCACAGATACGGGGAGATTTATCGCCCTCTGCCGCGTGAGAGCTTTACTACCAACGTTTGTATTATTATCAATATGAATACGTTTTTGCAGTCTATGAGTAGAACAAATACAATTATATACATAGAGATAAATAAAACATAAATATATAATAAATAGCGCAGAAATATACCGGGGTAACATAAACAACAATGTAGGCCTACACAAAGGAGAAGAGATATTGGTCAAGGGCAACTCTGAACAAACCAAATAAACCTTTAGAGCCACAATCTTTTTTGTTTAATATGAAGCTTGCTCAGTGGATAGCACTGTTGCCTCACAGCTAGAAATTCACTGGTTCGAGTCCCAGCTGAGCCAGCTGGCATTTCTGTGTGGAGTTTGCATGTGCTCCCCATGTTTGAATGGGTTTTTTTTTCTGGGTGCTCCATTATCACCACAGCCCAACAGGCAATGAGTGAAATGGGTAAGTTAAATTGTCGGTAGTGTGTATGTGTTTGTGAATGACTGTGTATGGGTGTTTCCTAATAGAGGAAAGGGCATCCACTGCATATGCTGGAAAAGTTGGCGGTTGATTCTGCTGTGGCGACCTCTAAAATAGAGACTAAGCTGAAGGACAATGAATGAAACTTGGCTAAAAGAAAACATATGTACACTTTTCCCAATTTTTCTCTTAAATGGTTGATCAACCCCCAAAAATATTAATATATAAGATATAAGAGTAAACACCGAAAGATTTGACCAAAATCTATCTGTGTTTAGCACTGCCAAAACAAGCGGATGAAATCTTGGTTTGTAGAGTAAAAAAAGAGCATTTCTAGCCCACTAAAAAGGTATATTTACATAGTCTGCAGTTTGAGTTTACAGAACTTATTGTAATATTTCAGCAACCACTTTGAGGTTATTTGAGCTGAGTGGCATGTTGTGTTATCCTGCTTGAAGTAGACTTCACAAAATGGACAACGATGCAGTCCTAAACAAATGGTGGTCAGCAAAAATATTCAAGAGTTTAAATGGTGCTCATTTAGTGCTAGGGTGCCCAACTATCACCATTACAGCACCAGCAGCAGCCTGAGCCTGTATTTCAGTTAATGTTTATATTTCAGTTTTTAAATACTCATATAAGCCCACCAGCATAGATGACAGAAATCAAAATACTTTGTTTCGTTACTAATAGACAGTTCGCTAAAATAACTACCTCCAAGTCTGACCAAGGAAATTGAAAATTGAATCCATTTGAATGATTTACCAACCAGCAAAGCACAAACAGTGCTCGAATTTTCATTCAGTTCTTCAATTGGACTATATTAGTGTACTATAATAGTGATAGTGATATAGTAATAGTACTATAATTAGTGGACTATAATAGTGACTGAGGGTATAGACGGTGAGCATAGACACAGAACTAGCACTAGTTATACTTTGGTCATTTTTGAGCGAGATGCTAATGGTCTAATCCAATCAAATAACTGATGCTAAGCTAAGCTAAAAATGCTCCTGCTAGACCCAGAGATAGGCTGGACAAAGATTGGAAGAAAGAAAGAAAGAAAGAAAGAAAGAAAGAAAGAAAGAAAGAAAGAAAGAAAGAAAGAAAGAAAGAAAGAAAGAAAGAAAGAAAGAAAGAAAGAAAGAAAGAAAGATAAAGCAACACACAGAAGGGTTCACGTAACAGACACCTGTTTAGTCAGTGTGCAGATATGATACACTGTTTTATGAGGAAGCTGTTGATTCACGTTAGAGGATCCAACGCTATTTAGTGGCTAATCCATATGAATTTGTACGATCTTATTCATACAATTTACTTTGATTTGCTTATTTGGATGCCATGTCTTCTTTTAAAAATCAGGCTGGAGGATTGACACATAAGCGCGGAAAAGAGATGTGTACCTGAGTGAGTGAGTTGGGGTATTGTGTGGGGGGATGTTTTCTGTCTGATGGATGAATATAGTCTGGATCCCCGTTCATTTTCTATGGCGGTCACTTTTGAACACCACAAGTGTAACAAGGTTAATTAGTACACTCAAAATTCAATAAAAGAGGTGATCATGACTTTTATATGTTCAGGTGCATAGTGTGAAGGATATCTGAGGCCTTGAGGCAGTCAGATGTGAAACACAATATTTATGAGTGTTTTTAAGTTGTAAATCGGTCAGATTTGACCACCACACGACAGGAAGGTTAAAGGAATAGTTCACCCAAAACTGAAAATTCTATCTTCGTTTTCTCTCCTTTCTTCATTTGTCGTTCGTTCTTCTGTTAAACACAAAAGAAGATATTTTGAAGAAAGCTAGAAACTTGTAACCGCTGACTTCCATAGTATTTTATTTTTCGTACAATGGAAGTAAATGGTTACAGGTTTGCAGCTTTCTTTGAAATATCTTCTCTTGTGTATAAAAGAATAAAGAAAATCATAAAGGATTAGAACCACTTAAAAGTGACTCAACTCCTCTTAAATCATCTTTCATCACTATTCATCGTGAATTAGTTTTTAAATTCAGCAGATCATGACATCTACATGCATAAAGGCACCGAGTTCTAACCATATAATAGGCTGACTAAATATTTGGATTAACAAAGCTGGATAACAGGTGTACCTAATAAAGTGGCCTGTGAGTGTATATAATATAGGCTACGATTAGTGGCCTCTTTTTGTGTTTATATCAGAGCTAAGTATATTTAACATATGTTTTACGCAGCGGATGCCCTTCCTGTTGCAACCCATCTCTGGGAAACATCCATACACACTCATTCACAACGGACACTTTAGCCTACCCAATTCCCCTCTACCGCATGTTTTTAGACTGTGGGGGAAACCAGAGCACCCGGAGGAAACCCACACTAATGCAGGGAGAACATGCAAACTCCACACAGAAACGCCAACTGACCCAGTCGAGGCTCGAACCAGCGACCTTCTTGCTGTGAGGCGACAGCACTACCTACTGCGCCACTGTGTCACCCAAACAATAATATGTTAAATTAAATTAAATAACTTAAGTATTAAATATTTTCAGTATCAAATTGTAACAATGTAGATCTGATTGTGTGTTTGGTATGTCTGTCTGTCTATCTATCTGTCTGTTTGTATATCTATCTATCTATCTATCTATCTATCTATCTATCTATCTATCTATCTATCTATCTATCTATCTATCTATCTTTCTGTATATCTATCTATCTGTATATCTATCTATCTATCTATCTTTCTGTATATCTATCTATCTGTATATCTATCTATCTGTCTATCTATCTATTATTCTATCTATCTATCTATCTATCTATCTATCTATCTATCTATCTATCTATCTATCTATCTATCTATCTATCTATCTATCTATCTATCTATCTATCTATCTATCTGTTTGTATATCTGTCTGTCTGTCTGTCTATCTATCTGTATTTCTGTCTGTCTGTCTGTCCAGAGTTCATGCATTCATTCACTCGTGTAATTACTATGTATTAAATGCATTCACTCGTTCACTTGTTTATTCGTGTCAGGTTGTCTTGTGAAGACGACCATCTTTTCCGCTGCTCGTCTCGTCAAGCTCGCTGTGGGTTTCATACAGAAAGGCAGTGCTTTGCTCATCATTAATGTTTAAGGAAGTGCCCTTTCCTCCTCTTTGTTTGTTATTCAAAGGTTATTCGAGGCGGGTCGAATAGAAGAAATGTCACTTTTTCCAGCACAATGAAAGTCTGTGTCTGCAAGCCGCTTGGTCACCATAACTAAGTATTTTATTGCTTATTTATTTTCCGAAATAGCAATCGTTCAAGCGGTTTGCGTATTCGATTAAGCGGTAAATGCCACATCGTCGGAAAATCTTAGTCAGGCATGGATTGATAAACAGAAAATTAACTTGCATGCATCTTTAGTGCATTTTATATCTTAAAAATGAAAACGAGAGAGCGTTTTCGTATTTAGCCTAAAGGTAACCTGAGAAACAGACTAAATAGAGAACTGCTCGCCCATAAGTCAGCCATTAGTTTGTTGTCCTCACATCTTTCACATACATCACGTATTCACTCTCTTTGTCCTTATAACGTTCCTCAACTGATCTCGAGGCAGTTTATCTGCCTCGTCCATATGTTAAAGCGACGGATTATAGCAGCGAAAACTGATCCTGAAACAGCAACGGCGAAGACGCCCAAAGAAAGAACCATTCCGAGCGTGGAGGGGGGAACGCTTTGAAATGTGAAAAAACGGCGTTGCAGCCGCACCTCGAGTAAAAACTGTTTTTTTTTGTTTGAATATGTAGAAAACAATATCTATATGTAATATAAAATTTATTTAGTTACACAAAATAGTGCTCATATTTTAAATTATTTACACCAAAGGAAAAATACACCCCCCCATCTCTACGAAACAGTTCGAAGCGCCCCAACTGTATAAATACGACACCAGACGCGGATTTCATTAGATGTCAACTGTCACTTCGAGACCAACGTTAGTCACCGACGAAGAGAAGACGTAGTTTGTTGGCACTTAACCAAAGTAAACAAACTACAAACATATTTTTCCACTTCTTAGACATTTAGACAAGGACTCTAGCACTTAATCTGAGGCAAAATAGACACTAGTTACTCGGAAAAGCTGAAGAGGGGTGTGACTGATCTCAGATCAGAGCCACACGAGCGTCAAGCTGCCTATACAGAGGGCACTGCGCCAGGCTATGTGCCATCTAAAGCCAGTGACAAAGAAAAAATCGGAAAAGATAGTAAAAAGGTAGACGGCCGAGGGGGTGCATCGTGTAGATTGACACGAGTAACCAAACCCCAAAGCGAGGAGAAGAAACAGCCTTTGTTGCCCTCCAGATTATGTGAGAGTGCACTACAGCTGATGCTAGACTCTGAGAAAATGTGCGGAAGGGGCATGATATGCCAATGGGAGGTCTACAGCGGTGAAACCTCCGTCAAGGAGAGCGAAAAACACAAGAGCGAGTCGAGGAGAAGCAACGGAGGTGCTAAACACAAGTGGCACAAATGGGGAAGGAG